TCAACACTCTTGACACCAGCAGTCAGGAAATAAAAAAGCGTATTGCGATGGGAAAGTCTGCTGTTAGGGACCTCTCTATAGTACTCAAGAGCAATCATGTCTCTCTGGAGACGAAGGTGCACCTCATACAGGCCATAGTCTTTGCAATCACTTGTTAAGCATCAGAGAGTTGGACAATGACTGGGGAGGACAGAAGGAGAATTTATGCCTTTGAGCTGTGGTGCTGGAGAAGAGTATTGAATGTACCATGGACTGCCAAGAAAACAGATTCATCCTAGAGAGGGTTAAACCAAGCTACTCCTTGGAGGCAAGGATTCTGGGGCTTCGTCTGACATACTTTGGGCATGTTGCAAGGAGGGACAGCTCTTTGGAGAGGGACATCATGCTTGGGAGGGTGGAGGGACAGCACGGGGAGGGAAGACCCTCTATGAGGTGGATTGATTCAGTGACTGGGGTAACCGGGATGGATGTGTCAGAGGCAATGTGATTGGCACAGGATAGAGCAGGGTTTAGGGCTGTTGTACATAGGGACGCTATGAGTCGCAAATGACTCGACGGTACATAACAACAACAACATGCATTTTAATGTGTTTTGGAATGCTCTTGGCAAGATGGATTGATACGGTGTCTGTAACAAAGATGACGCAGGATGGGACAAAGCTTTGATCTGTTGTTCAGAGTAGGTTTGCTATGAGTTATACTCGATCAATGTCCCCCCAACAATAACACAGAATGGAGAATTAATGGAGGAAAGGAAGTAGTAGAGGAGAGAGGTTACTCGTTGGGAAGTAGGAATTAACACTCTAAGTGATAATTCTAAAGCTTGAAGGGATGGCTCGAGTTGTTGTGGTTCATATAATCAATAGCCAGCTTTGAAGTGCTGATCCAGTGGTTTTTCCAAGACCTTGCTTCTCATTACGCTTCTTTATGGGTCATGAACTTCAGACAAATGGATGACTTATTTCACGCTGTCCTTTCTTGCATCTGTGGTTTTGCCCATCTGCCCTCTTTGCCTGGATACCCTGTGTAGACATATGTCGGGCCCAATGTTGTTCATTTTTGAAGTCCTATCTCAGAGGCTGCCTCTTTTCAGAATTCTTCCTTATCTCACCAATGAGGATGTAAGCTCTCTTTCTTTTAAAAGTTAATGATAGTTTGACTCAGCTTATCTTCTGGTATTTAACATAATTTGTTTTGTTTATGTGACTTATCCTTAGGATGAGGCAGTGAATCTTTGAGCCTGGGGTTCAAGCTGATTTATCTTGAGCTCCTTCCACCATAGTGACACATGTGCTTAAGTCAACAAATATTTGCTGACTGACTGAATGGGTTAGTGAATGCACAGGAGAAAGTACTTCTTCCTCTTAGATAGAGGGGTTTAGAGAAGAAAGATGGGAGTTGGAGGGGGAGGCCTGAGGAAGGATGTTGAGGGATTTAAGCAGATGCCATCAATGCCCATGAAAGACAGCATGGGAGTGTGTTGAGAGCATGGACTTTGGAGTTGGCTAACTCTGAGTTGGGAGTTCTGGTGGTATAGTGGTAGGAAATTGTGCTGCCAACCCAAAGGTACATGGTTTGAATCCACCAGCCACTCCATGGTAGAAAGAGGAACAATCTCTTCCCTTGTGATTAATCTGCCTCTGAAAACCTGCTGGAGGGTTACCACGAATTGGTTCTGACTTGATGGTACTCAACAACAACTCTGGATTTAGACTCTTGCTCTGACACTTATAAGCTGAGTGAGAGTGAGGTGGGTGAGGTTAGAGTTTCCAGGAGAGCAGAGAGGGCTTGGAGAGGCATTTACGGAACACACAGGGAGTCCCTAAGTTGGATAAAGGTCTGTAAGCAGCAGTGAGGGCATAACCAAGGCTAAAGAGTATGAACTTCACTGGGCTGGGACAGACATTGTTGTGGCTTTTCCTGGCCATGCTTGAAGTGGTAATGGCAGGGATCCTGATATCTATGACTCTTTTTCCCAGAACCCGATGCTGGATGACCCAAATCCTACAGAGGCCCAGGATGCAGAGGAAGGCCCGGCATTTGGAATCATCAGAGTGGAGCCTGGAGACCAGCTATGGAGCCCCAAGACCCAGCAGCAGTGCAGTAGGCCAGACAGTGCTGTAGGGTGGGGTGGGGATATTCCCTGAGTCTCTTTGCCCCAGAATCTCCTGCGATCAGCCCCAAATGATTGAGGGTTGGAGATGTTTATCTAGATGTTTATCCCCATATCAGTGTTCAATTTCTGTTTCTCTCTTGGGACTTCACTGGGACACAGGTTTCTAGCAGGGCTTTGGGCCCTGTGAGTTTAAAGATGGTGAGATTGTGGGGAGGGTGGGAAGTGACAGGGCACAGGAAGGCATCCTCTGTGGGTGCTGAGCCCCATGGAGGTGCCTCAGAGAGGAGGCAAGTTTGTAGGGAAGAGCAGAAACTCACACTCTTCTTTGCTTCCCAGCCTCTCCAGTGGGGCGTTGGTGTCCCCCACAACGTGGTTATGCAGTACTCGGAGCCCTGGGGCTGCTGGCTGGTGTGGGTGTTGGCTCCTGGCTTCTAGGTCAGTGCTGGGCATCCCACAAGGCTCGGGGGGGGGGGCAAAAACAGGATCTGGGTGGAGGGAGGCTGGAAGAGAGAAGCAGGTGCTGGGCAGGTGTTAGAAGCAGACTATAAGATGAACATGTTCCCCATCTTCCCTGAAAAGATGAGAAGGGATAAAATTGGAGCAGGAATAATGTAGGCTTATTGTGGAGGAGAATCTTCTAATTCTGCAGTGAATTACCCATAATCACTTAGCCACCCTCTTTCTAGAAATGCTTCCCAATAAGAGAGTGTTGTGCCTCTCCTCAGCAGGTTAGTGGCAAATCTCTGCCTGAGAGTACTTGCCTGCAAACGACAATGTTGCTGGTTCGAGCCCATTAGATGTAGCAGTCTACTTCTGTAAAGGTTATGCCTTGGAAACCCTGGGGGGAGGGCAGTTCTACTCAGTCTTACAGGATTATTATGAGTAGGAATGGTCCCAGCTATAGTGGGTTTGGGTTGAGAGAGTCTTGTTTTGCGTCTTTGGGTAAAGGTCCCCCTCCTTTGAGCATCCACCCCTGCTCCTTCTCTGTGAACTACTTTTTGTTCTTCTCAAGTGCTGTATCTGTGGCCGGCCTCTCAGCTGGCTTCGGAGACCTTGCAGGGTCAGGAGATGGCTTGGAATTGCTCAGAGGTCAGCAATGAAGACGTCCTGCTCCCCTCGCCTCGCAAAACAGGTGGGCCATCCCCTCAAGGCTTCCAGTTTCCTCCTCCTGTCACAGCCCCGGAAGTCCCTGTGGCCCTTTCTGGCAGAGGCCATGAGGACCCAAGTGAAGGACCATTAATTAGCTGCACACATCTGCCTCTCCATCCTCCTCCAGTGTGAGGGTAGTGATGGGGCCCAGACTTGGAGCTGACCTTTGATTTGGCTTTGCGGGCCTTCTTTGACTTCTAGGGGGTGCATGGCCAGGAACCCAGGCTGGCAGGAGAGATGGAGCTTTGCTATTTGGGGCAGATTGGGGCAGAAGCTGTGGAGGAAGAGAAAGAGGGTGTGACAAGGAGAAATGTTTGTCCGATGGGGCTAGAGGGCTAGGAACATCACTTCTAGTCACCCCCTGGTAGCCATCACCCTTCCTTTCCAGCTGAGAATTGGGAAAAGGAGTATGCTGCTACGTAGAGGCTGAGCGTTAAGCTACATTATGTAGAATAACAATTAGCATATTATTGTTTTTTTTTAACTTCCATTTTCTTAACAAAGAAATAAAATATTTGATGTATAATGTCAATCGAGGGTAAAGTGAGCTAACCAATGAATAGAGCTTCTTGCAGAGCCTGGACAAAGCAGCCCCTCTGGGTCAGTGGTAATGATTGCTGATTGGGGCAAGATTTGAAATCAGAAGGCCTGGACGTACAACCTGGGCCCATCACTTACTGATTCTGTGCCCTCAGGCAAGTCGCTTCCCACATTTGCACCTGAGTTTTCCCTCTGCACAAAGAGGAAGATGGATGGCGACACTGCCATGAAGTCAAGGGCAAGAGTGAAAATACTTCTCAGACAACAAAGCCATGAGGTCCGCAGACAGGAGTGACTTTGTTCTCAGATAGCCTGACACCCTGGGGGGAGAGGTTGGCAGGATGCCTGAGACTGAGGGGCCAGATGCTGTCATTAAGGCCTCCTCAGTTCCCCAGAGGCCTCAGGGCCAGCTCCTTCATCCCTTGTCCTCGCCTCCTGGCAGCTAGAGGGATGGGATTCTCATGCTGTGGTTTCAGTATCTTTCAGAATAAACACCGAGGACTTCTTGTTGGAAGTGCAGGTGAGGGCGCAGCCAGACTGGCTCCTGGTATGCCATGAGGGCTGGAGCTTGGCCCTGGGGAGACAGGTGTGCCGGCATCTCGGGCATCTCAGGTAAATGGAGCCAGGCCTGGGTAGTGGAAAGTGTGGAGGGCTGGCTGCCAGGGGAGGGGGCACTGCAGGGTTTTATCTGCCTGTCACCATCAAAATCCTTGGAAAAAGGCAAGCAATCATTTCTCCAGAGATTGGCCTCTGGGTAATATGGTGCCCCAGCCTGTTTCTATCCCCTGAGCACCTTTGACAAAGATGATCTCCAAAGAAGCCCGTTTCACAGTCTTTTCAGTTGTTCTGCTGGTGTAGCACATCATACACATTCCTGGTCTGCACTTCTACCACCTCTGATGCTGATATTCAAGCCAGTTTCCCACCATGTCTCTCTCTCCTTTCTTCTGCCCAGACTCACGCACCACAAGGCTGTGATCCTGTCTGATGTCAAGCTCAATGGCTCCCAGGGGTTTGCTCAGGTCTCTCCTAGACGCGGAGGCCTCCTGGAGGAGGCCTGGCAGCCCAGGTAAGACTTCTGAGGTCAGAGGTGAAGGGCTCCCTACTTCCTCTGTGGGATCATGGCGGTGAGAGTGTTGGCGGCTCATGAGGAGACAAAGAGGGACATTGCCAAGTCAGAAGTCACTAATTCCATTCTCCTGAGTCCTGCCAGTCACCACTGGACACTTACGATTTTATTTGTCCCCAACAGGTTTTGAAATAGCACATTGAACATTCCTTTTGTAGGGGGAACTGTGAGGCCTTATCTAGGTAGGGCCTTACATGTCCATATCATTGACCATCAGTCAAACTATGTTTTGAAACCAGGTTCTTGTTTCCAAACTAAGAGTCCTTTCAATTCATTACATGGATAATTCTGGCATCTCAGGTTGGTTGAGCCCCTCTGACTACAAGCATCCTGGAGAAGGGGGCTCTGGAGTAGAAAAGGCCTTTCCCAGAATTCCAAGGGTGAATACAGAGTGTGTCTCTCAGCCATGAGCTGAGAAGGCCTTTGCTTCCTGTCCAACCTTCCTCATCATAGCAGCAGCCTCTTGGGCTGGATGATGGGTCTATCATCCCTTTGTTTTCTGTCTCCACATGGCTTCTCTGATGCGAATCAATTGTCCCCTTAGGGCCCTCCTACCCAGCCCTTTCCTCTAATGGTCCATCTAGGAGAAAATAGTAGAGGTGGGGGACACAGTAGAGACCCTTGCTTGTGCCTATTTTGGATCCTTGGATGGGGAAATTGAGGCAGGGGTGGGACTGCCTCCTCCAGGATAGCCTGAGGGTTGTGGGTTTGGAAAACTAAGAGCAACTGAGAGAATCCAGACATTGGGCCTCTGGGTATGGGAGGAGGGTTGGGAAGCTTGAAGGAAGAAAGGAAAAGGTTTGGTTAAAAATATTTGGGGCTGTTAAGAGACCAGAGAGGGAAAAGGAGAGTAAGAATATAAACTTACAGGGGCAGGTGAAGGTTCAGGACAGAGAAAGAGTAAGGTAGAAGAAGCCTGAGTGAAGTGCCCGGCTCACTCACTTGGAGGTGTGATCACCCAGTAGGGTTTCTGAGGGGATTAGGTGAGTAGAGCCTCTCTCCCTTCCTTCATCCATCCACAGAATGTACATTTATTCAGGAGCAGTTAGTAGGAACATCTGGAGTTCCTCATCTATAGATGTTCTCTTTTTGTATTAGGACCCTGTACAAATTATCCCTCAAAGACCATGAAGTCCTGTTGTTACTCTGCTGAAGTCTGGTTACTGTCTTTTTTTTTTTTTAATTAAAGAAAAATTTATTTGAAAACATTTGCTATTTGTAGAAGTTACCGTAAGAGCAAAGATATTTTATTTCTTTATTATCATTATAATTTTTAATGAAAATTTAAAGAGACTTTGGATTTCCATTCATTCATTGTTGCACTTTTCTCCCTGCTCACCCCCTCCCCTTCAATTCATTCTTCTCTTTGAAAAGCAAAAGAAAAATTCTTTCATTGTTATACAATTCCTCCCCCCAAGTCCACTCCACTACTATGCAGCCTTTGTTCTAGATAGAGTTGTTGTGAGGAGGTGACCAGGGTCGGGGGAGAGTGGGAATGGAAGGAGAAAATGATAGTGTTCTTGAGGCGTGACTCCATGGGAAAGACTCCCTTCACCTCTGCCAGCTGTCCCCATCCTCTATGCCTCAGGCAGGTGTGAGTGGAAGCAGGTGGGTCCTGCCCAGCTTCCTGCTGGCACCTCTGTTTTGCAGGGACAACTGCACTTCCGGCCAAATTGTTTCCCTCAAATGTTCTGGTGAGTCATGTCTTGGGCCTGGGAAGGGGTTGGTGGGAATAAGGAGTTCTGTACCTTGTTCTGGGGAGTGTAGAAGAGGCTCTGCTGCATCTGGAGTGGGGTTTTCATCTGTTTGCCAGACTCTTCTTGTAGACACAGTTCAGTCAAAACAAAGCCCCACTAAGTCATGGTTTCACCCTGCCACTGGGCTGGGCTGAAGATCTGCTTCATCCTTTTGTACCTCAAGCCCTGAACTCTGACATGTCTTTCTTCTGGAAAGCCCAAATCAAAGGTGAAATTACTATGGGTTATTGAGTAATCTGTTAGGAGCTTCCTGAAAGCTGCTGCTGTTAGGTGCTGTCAAGCCAATTTCAATTTATAGTGACCCCAGTGGACAGAGCAGAACTTTCTGATAGAGTTTTCTAGGTTGTAGTTTTGAAGGAATTAGACCTGTGAGTAGGTTGATTCTCATCAAAGTGGGTGGAGTCTCTGTGAGTGGGTTCTCACAACCAACCTTTGAATTAGAAGTTACCTGGACTCCTTCATTGTTGTTAGGTTTCATTAAGTTGGCTCTGATGTGTAGGGACTTTATATAGGAAAGAGCAAAATCCTGCCCAGTTCTGAGCCTCCTCACAATGTCCGCTGTGCTGAAGTGTATTCTTGCAGACACCATGTCACCCATCTTCCTGAGGCTCCTCCTCTTTTACCCTAACCCCATACTTTTCCAAGCATGATGTCCTTCCCCAGGGCTGGTCTCTCCAAATAAGAATGTCCAAAGTATGGGAGATGAAGTGTCACCATCCTTATTTCTAAGGAATGCTCTGGTTGTACATCATCCAAGATAAAGGTGTTTCTTATTTTGGCAATTTGTGGTTCATTCTATATTCTTCACCAACACCACAATATCAAGACAGCAATTATTATTCTTTTTATTGATCCTTCATTTAAAAAATTATTCTATATTGATTAGCTCTCGTAAAGTTCATATACATGTATTTCACATTATCCTTTATTCACATTGTGTTTCATATAATCATTCCCATTTATTATGTTTTATAAAAGTAATCATAATTGAAACATGCCCAAAATTACTTTATCTTTCCAGATTCCCACCATATCTTTCCTTTACCCCCTCTCTCCACGCACTGAAATGTGCAACCCTATGATATCCCCCCTGCCCATCCTTGCCCCTCTTCTCCAACCCTCCCTACCTTGGATCCTCATACACATTTTACTAGTGACCTTTCTATTTCCACAATAATGGTCTTATGCAGTATTTGTCCATATGAGACTGAGTTAGTTCATTCAGCTTAATGCTTCCCAGTCCCTTCTAAGTTATGTAGTAATTTTCAAAATCATTGCTCCTGCATGCTATGTTGCATTTCATCATCTGAACTGACCACAGTATCTCAATCAATTTGATTGTGGTTGGCCATTCGGACCATTTCCATTCTTATCATGGTAAATAATGCTGCTATAAACTGATGTACAGATCTCCATTTGTATTTCAGTTTTCATATTCTCAGGTACATTCCAAACAGTGGAATAGCTGGATCACATGGAATTTCTATGTTAAGATTTTTGAGGAAATACTAAACTGCCTTCCAGAGTGGTTGTACCATTTTAAAATCCTATCATCAGGATATGAGAGTTCCTATCTCTGTACATCCTGTCTAATATTTATTGTAAAGGGATCAATTCTTCAGTCTTCCTTATTCATTGTTCAACTTTCAAAAAACACGAAAGGTAAATTAGAGGTCAAATTGGAGACAGTTTATGGAGGTCCTTTGTCTGCCTTGTCATTCATTTGTCCATCCACACAATCAACAATTTTGACTTCTAGCACTGGACAGACTTCCTTGTTCCCAACTCTTACGCTCCAATTACCAATTATTACAAAAGAAGATGGAAGGAATACACAGAGTCACTGTACCAAAAAGAACTGGCTGACATGGGACAATTTTAGGAACTAGCAAATGATCAAGAACCAATGGTAATAAAGAAAGAAGGTCAAACTGCACAGAAGCCATTGGCAAAACATAAGGCTCCAGGAATTGATGCAATACCAATTGACATATCCCAACAAATAGATTTAGCCCTGTACATGCTCCCCAGATTGTATCAAGAATCGGACGACAGTTACCTAGCTAGCTATCTGGAAGAGATCCACATTCACTCTTATTCCTAAAAAGGTCATCTTACTGAATGTAGAAATTATAAAAAAAAAAATCATTAATGTTACATGTGAGCAAAATCTTGCTGACGATTATTTAAAATTGACTAGAATGGTTCATTGACAGAGTACTTCCAGAAATTCAAGCTGGATTTAGAAAAGATCATGGCATCAGGGATACAATTTCTGATGTTAAATGGATCTTGGCATAAAGCAGAGAATCCCAGAATGGTATCTATCTGTGTTTTATTGACTGTTCAAAGGCATTTGGCTGTGTGGATCACAACAAACTGTGGCCAGCAACGAGAAAAATGACTCAGTGGCTACGAGGATAGAACTGTTCTTGGAGAGCTCACAGCCTAATGGGGTAGCTGTGTGCATAATTCACATTTCCACCATCCAGCCTTCCGTATCCAGGACCCCAAATAATCACCCAGAGCTTTGCACTAGGCTCTCAGGGGTTTGGCATTGAGTCATGTTCCCTGGATGTTAGGACCATCTGATACCCCTTTCTCCCTCTGTTTCATTCTCCCCTTTCTCTGTTGGCAGACTGTGGGGCAAGACCCCTGGCTTCCAGGATAGTCGGCGGGCAGGCCGTGGCTCCTGGGCGCTGGCCGTGGCAGGCCAGTGTGGCCCTGGGCTCACGGCACACATGTGGGGGCTCTGTTCTGGCACCACACTGGGTGGTGACTGCAGCACACTGCATTCACAGGCAAGTCCTAGGGGCTGCTGTTGGGTGTGTGTGGGAGAGTGCCTCATTGCCTTTTTTGTGTGGCTGCTTCCACCTGCTTGCTTCGGGGTGTCTGCTACGAAATGGGCATGGAAGTACTTAGGAAATTCTCCCTGGTCAGTGCACAAGCAGGTGTGAAAAGACAAGATCAATTCTTTGTATTTGTTCAGTCAGTTTTTCAATAACATGCTTTTTCATTTAAAGCACTCTGCTTCCTAGCCTGACTCACCACTGTAATGCTATACATTTCCAAGTAATTATTTAACAGCTTTCTCCCTAATCAGACTGGAAGCTCCATGAGAATAGGGGCCCTTAGTCTTGTTAGTGTAGATCCCTTTATCAGTTTTCACACTGTTTTGTCCTCACACCTAGAACAGACTCTGCAACATAGTAGATGTTTAAAATTGTTGCTTGAAGGATGAGTGAATGAGCTCTTTGAGCCTCTTTTCTTGGTGGCAGGCAGGGCACAGAGTCTTCGTCTCCATTTTGCAGTGAGGAAACGGAGGCTGAGAGGAGGGAAGTGACTCCTCAGAGCAAGTGGAGAGACAGATTGAGTGGTGATTTTCTGATGTGGCTGAGGATTAGTATTTGCATCATGAGCTTCATCAATAGTGACTGTAAAGGAGAGGGTTAGGCAGGAGACGTGGGTGGACTGGCAGATGACACATAGTTACTGCATGCACAGTCTCTTGCCAGATGCTGAGAGGTGCACTAACAAGTGTAGTTCCTGTATTCTGGAAGCTCACCACCCTGTGATGGAGGCCCCCACTAATGGCTTCTCTGACCAGTTCTTCCCACCTGCTGTCTCTGTTCCATCCCCCTCCTCTGCCTTGTCCTCTCCTGGTCACTGTGGCCCCCTCTGTGTAGTTTCAGGCTGTCTCGCCTCTCCAGCTGGCGGGTGCATGCAGGGCTGGTCAGCCACAGCGCCATCAGGCCACACCAGGGGGCAGTTGTGGAGAGGATTATCCCTCATCCACTCTACAGCGCCCAGAACCATGACTATGATGTCGCCCTCCTGCGGCTCCGGACACCCCTCAACTTTTCCGGTGAGGTGCTGGGCAGCGGGCCGAGCAGCTTGGGTTGGGATAGAATGGTAGCATGAGTCCTATGATTTCCTCTTGGAGCTTTAAGCATTAAAACAGCTCATCTGTTTTGGTGACTGTAACGAATTAGGGTAACCTGGATCTGGGGTTGCAGCACCTCTGCTGTTGTCACTGTTAGGTGCTGTGGAGTCAAGTATGGCTCACAGAGACCCTATGAACAACTGATCTGAACCCTGTTGTATCCTGCGACATCCTCACAATCTCAGCCTCACTCAAGCTTAGTGCTGCAGTAACCGTGTCAGCACACTTGGTTGAGGGTCTTCCTCGGGTAGATTTTCTTGGAGACAAAAGGTTCAAGCTCTTTTCCCAACTGCACAGCAAGGGCTAACCTCACGCTTTCCAGCTGGGTTCACAGCTGCTCCATCTACAGCAGACTGCTGGCCCTTTCCTGGCCATTACTATGCAACATTTCAGTTAACACATTTTCTAAGCATTGCTTCATTCAGTCTTTGCAACAACCTGACAGGTAGAAAAAAGGCAGGTGTTGTTGTTGTTGTTACTTACTGTTGAGTGGGAAGTGACTAATAGCTGACCCTCCACTGGGTTTTCAGAGGTAGTAAATCACGCGGCTGGGAGATGATTGTCCATCTTTCTCCCATTGAGCAGCTGATGGATCCAGCTGTTGGCAGTGCACCTCCTTACCACTGAGCCATCAGAGCTCCCAGCTTAAGTTGGCACATATAGATAAAGCCATTGTTAGTCGAAGTAGTGCCTCTTCAAGGTCACAAAGCAGTTTCTGAGCCTAGGATTTAGACTCCAGAGTGAGTATTCTTGACCTAGAAGAACAAGTTCAACAACCACCTCTGCCTAACTTCAATATGCATATGCACAGGTGCACTCAATAAGAAACACACACAAAACCACATGCATACAACACACTAAGTACACACACACACACACACACACACACACACACACACACTCCAAATAGCCCTGATTGGTGTGTACACATTCACATACCCACTCATACTCACCCGCACAGTCATAGACTCACACACATGCCCTCATTCCACACATCACCTGTATTTGTGCACACACAATCCTTCATATGTGCTCACACAGACACCCATACACATATGGAATTATGTTTCCTGCCCTCACACACTCACAAACACATGCAATTACACACACACACACACACACACACACACACACACACACACTCTTCCTTGGATTGTAGCCTTGGGTTTTCCAAACACCAGCCATTGTTATACTACATGCACACCATTTATCCTGTAAATAGTCTTGCTAAATTATTGTTCAACAGCTACTGTTTTAAAAGGACTGAAATAAGTATGTTTCAAAAGGGAAACTTTGTGTTGCTACCTAGCTGGAGATCTTACCTTACAATAAATCAATTGCATCCACAGACACACACAGGGTGAAAACAAAACAGCATTTAAGTTCTCGCTGGACTTGGTAGGAGGAGTGGGCCTGGCCTGCTGGCCCCTGCTGGATGAGAGGTTGTGTGGTGTCGAGGAGGTGCGGAGAAGCACCAAAGGAGGTTTCCTCATTGACACAGAGTGTGTAAAAGAGAGTTGGAAAAGAAGTTATTTTCTCCCCATGTGACTCAATGCTTACTGAATGGCATGTTCACCTGAAATAATGCCTAGATTCCACCAGGAGACAAAGACACTTTGGAAAAATAACTGCCACAAAAAAAAAAAATAACTGCCACAAAAAAATTCAACACTCTGGGGAAAATCCCTATGAGTCTTCATAAAAAATTGGAGGGAAATTGGAATAATCTGTTTGGGAAAACAATGTATTTGAATTTTGTAAATAAACAAGTGCTTAAAAAAAAAAGAAAAAGAAAAACTGTCCGCCCCCCAAATTGGTGCCCAGAAAAATGTTCACTTCTCTCCTCCCTGGTGTGCAGGTTCTTTCCACCCCTAGGGGGCGCCATGCACACTATAGTCACATGCTGTCCTCTGGGTGAGTGGTGACCCGGATGGTGATAAGAACTCTGGTGACATAGTCTGTAGGGATTTGTCCTGTAACCCAAAGGTGGCACCTCTTTGACAGTTGCAATCCACCAATAGCTCCACAGGAGAAAGATGAGCAATCTCCTCCCCTGCAATTTACTGCCTCTGAAAAAGCCAGTGGAGCAATGAGGGTTGCAGAGTGGATTATATTTGGGGGTAGGGGGTGGGGTTTGGGGAGGTGCGGGGGGGATTGTGTACCAA